GTTGAGTTTTGGAAATAAAATGAAATAAATGCCGTCTCGTTTTGAATTAAAATTATATCGTTTCTTTTGCACATTGCTTTGACTTTTAATTTTGTACAACCATGTTATAAGATTTACTCAAGTAAAAAAATAAAAATAAAAATTGGATTAGTATCCACATACTTAAAGTATAAGGTTAATAGCATTTTGCCACCTGTACTTTGCCGATTTTTCTACTTTGCCGCTTTAACTAAAAAGATTTGCACAAGCACACCCAAACCTACGTTTTTGACGCACATAACCACCTATGATGGATATTCCGACGAATCTTCTCATTTACCGCCGCACGCGGGATGCGCATGCGGAAGCACAAAAGTTTTTTCATCTTTTCAACTTAAAATACGTTGTGGGACCTATTTTTAACCATCATTTCTTATATTTTCCTCCATTTTTTCTTCTCTTGTGGGGCCTTTTATTTTCGATGCAAAGAAACAAGAACACATAAACGACCTAGATGTGATTTTCATTCGCCTTCTTCAATTCTTCGTTCTCTCTCGTTTTCTCGTGCAATTTTTTTAGTGTTCTCGACAAATTCATTTAAAACAAAAATCTTGATGAACAGAAAACCATGGGATAGATCGTTGCAAAGAAAATGCGCCATACAAAGATCCATTTTGAAGCCATAGTCGGAGGTGTCTCGCCGTTACAGTCGTCCATATTCGTCTTTCGTTCACAATTCATCACAATTGCCCTATAAGCATTCCCGGAATACCTCATTCCCTAGACTTCTCTCTCATCTCTACCTCTTAATTTGAATTCAACCAATTAAATCCGTCTTTTTACCACTATGAATTCTGAAATCACTGAGAAATCGCGTACGGCAATTAAGTCCGGTGTAAGAAGATCATGGGCAAATGAGCGTTCAAAGACGTCTACAAAGTGTTCGACCATTTGTCCAATAGAGAAATCGACTGAAGATAAATCTTCGACTAGAAAGAAAGATTTAAACACATCGAAGAAGAATCAAGAAAAAACCCTCTGCTATGAGGTCGTCCTACGATTAGCCATAGATCCCACGCCCCCATATAATAGAACATGACTTGAATTTCTCCATTTGCCCTTTGGCTCTTTCGTAAGAGAATCTCTAAAACACGATTGAAATTTAAAAAAAAATTACCAAGACATTAACTGAACTATCATAATTCGGATTTCCATTACAGTGTTTGGTACCGAATCGGGAATCAACTTTGGTGCAGTCACAAAGGAAAATTGAGAAATTCTTGAATACTGGAACGGGGAAGGGATGTGGTGTGTTGGGCTACTGGTCTTAGAATTCGGTGTTTGTTAAGGGTTTTTTTTTTTTTTTTTTTTATAAACTAGCATTTTTTCCCCGTGCGATGCACGAGATGTTATTTCAAAAGTAAAAAAGAATAATCAATTTTATATATAATAAGATAATATAGTGTGGTAACATAGTAAATTTAATAATGTAGTATTATAAATGATACATTTTAAGATTTAGCAAATCGAAGTTTTATCTTTATCTCTTAATATTTGAGATATATTTATGAAAAATAGGAGATTAATAATTGTTAAAAATTATAGTTAGAAAATTAGTAGATAAAAAAATATTAAAAATAAATAATTAGAAAAATACTATTAGGGTTTTTAGGGTTGCCCAGTGTTTCTTTCTTTTATATATAAGATAAGTTATCAATCATTTCACATATAGGTTGTTTCATTATTATTTTTTCTATGAGTGCAGGATGAAGGGCCCCACAGGAGAAGAAAAAAATGGACGAAAAGAGAAGAAATGAAGGTAAAAAATAGGGCCCGCATTTTATTTTAAATTTAAAAGACGAAAAAACCCTTATACTTTTGCATGTGCATCGCGCGTGCGCCGATAAATGAGAAGAATCGTTGGTTATGTGCGTCAAAAAAGTTGGTTTGGGTAGGCCCGGACGAATTTTTTTTGTTAAGGTGGCAAAGAGGAAAAACAGGCAAAGTCCAGGTGGCGAAATGCTATTATCCCTACTTTAATTTTAGATTTTTAATTTTATAGAGATGTCATGACTAATTAAAGAATTTGGCATTGTTCAACATTTGATTAATTCATGTTTTTGGACCAATAACAAACTAATACAACATCTTAATTTTTATTTCAATTGTTAGAAGAATTATATCATGGATCCCGTGAGAGAATAACTTAAAATTGGATCATTGTAAAACATGGAAACGCATACCTCATTCACTGCAAGACACGTGGAAAAACTAATCTCTATTAATACCTCAAACTTTATATATTAAAGAAAGAAACGGTGGGGTAACCCTAAAAAAACCTAATGATATTTTTGTAATATTTATTTTTAACGGTTTGTTCTCTTCTATCTTTCTAACTATATTTTCAAGTTATTATGAAAAATGATACCAAACCAAGTAGAATCCTTCATTCTCCTATTTTACATCCATATTTCTCAAATCTTAAGAAATAAAGATAAAAATTTAATTAGTTAAATCTTAAACTATTTATTTGGATTATAAAACTTACTACATAGGATTTAAAAAAATTAATGTTGTATGAAATACGAATAGTTTGGGAAAATTACAGTTTATGTCCCTAAACTTTACCACTAAAACGATTTATGTCCCCAAACATTTCAATCCGCTATATATGTCCTTAAACTTGCCACTTTTGATCAATTTATGTTCTGCCGTTAACGTCGGCAGCTAACTTCGACGGAAATTGCACGCGTGGCTCACGTGACGTCTATGTGGCCGTTAAATGTCGAGCTGTTCAAAACCCAGTGCCTACTTGGCCGACAAAGAGTGATGTGGAGCGACACGTCATTCTCCTCCCCTATTTCTATTGTAAAATCCCTAATTCTCCATATGCCCCAATTAACCCGTAAATCGAAGCCCTAAAACCCCATTTCGAATCCTTCAATTGAGTTGAAATTCCAAAATAGCAGAATCGTCTTCCCAAGTTTTTGAATCTCCGAGTAGTTAAAGCGTCACAATTGCAAAACAATTTTCGATTTGGTAAGTTTCCTCTATTTATTTGAACAATTTTCGATTTTGGTAATTAGTATACTTGTAGTGTTGATTTCACCTCAATGTTTTCGATGTAGCATAAAATATGAGTAAAGGATCTAATTATGGCTGTCGGAGCTCATCCTCAACGAGCTCTGATGCTCATTCAACATTTTACACAATCAATTGTAAATGTGGATTTCGTTTGCCAGTGATTACGTCATGGACGCCAGACAATCCAGGGAGAAGATACCAAGCTTGCCCAAATTATGGGGTAAAATGCTTTCCTTTTATTTGTTCATTACATTATATTGGATTTGTTATTTCAAGCTTGAACAAATTATGGGGTTAAATGCGTTCTTTTGATTCAAGTTTTGGGATTCGTTACAGAAATCAACCTATTGTGGTGTATTCAAGTGGTTGGATCCTGAAATATGTGGTAGATCCAAGATGATTATCCCCGGACTGCTTAGGAGAGTGAACAAACTAGAGGCTGAATTAGCTTGCTTCAAAGAGAAAGAAGAAATATTGAACCAAGTTGAAGGTGAAGTGGCTTGTTACAAAGAGAAAGAAGAAAAATTGAACAAGCTAGAAGGTGAACTTGCAAAGGAAAGAAGGATTATTCAGAAAAGAGCCAAGAAACTGGAGGGTTTGATTGCAATGTACAATAAGAGGATGAAGTTGCAAGTTGGAGTCTTTATGGTCATACTTCTGTTCATTGCCATATATGTCATGAAAATTGGCATAGAAAGGGGGTATATGTAATGTTTTGTTTGAATGTGGATGTTGTTTCTAATGTTTTGTTTATGGTTAATTATCAGCTGTTAGGAATTGGAATTCTTGTAATGGTGGATTTGGTAATTTGGTTGTAGTTCTTGAATTTTGGTGAATTTGGTGAATTTGGTAGTAGTAATTGACTATCAATTTTCAGTTGTTAGAAGTTCTTGTAATGGTGAATTTGGTAATTTAGTAATAATTCTTGAGTTTGGTGAATTTGGTAGTGATTCTTGTATTGGTCATTTGATGATTCTTGTACCTTGTATGTATTGATCAATTATAGAACTTATATATACATAATTAAGCTTTCAAACATTCAATAACTTAAAAGAGTCATCAAACATCTCATACATAATTAAGCTTTCAAACATTCAATAACTTAAAAGAGTCATCAAACATCTCAAACAAACCAACTGTGTTCAAATCCAAACAAATCAACAAACCATCAAACTGTGTTCAAATCCAAACAAATCAACAAACCATCAAACTGTGTTCAAATCCTAACAAACCATCAAACATTAAACAACCAAATATTCAACATTCAAACATCAAACTAGCTAACAAACAAACAAAATAACAAAAGTACAATCTTGTTCAAACTTGATCACTTCTTCATCTTGGAGGCTGACTTGGAAGCAACTACTGACTTGGAAGATGCCTTGGAAGCAACTACTGACTTGGAAGATGTCTTGGAATTTGTGATGGATGCAGAGGCTGACTTAGAAGAACTTGCACAAATTTCAGAGCCTGAGTTTCCCTTCAGTTGATTGGTCACTGATGATGCTAAATTGGATAGTGTTATGAAATTAACACCTCCTTTTACAATCATTGGAGCCTGGATTGTTGGAGAAGATTGACTTGGCTGTAATTAATAAAAAAAAATATAAATTAATATAAATATTTATTAAAAAAACATAATTATGAAAATATTAATTTAAATACCTTAAAGGATCCAATTATGTTTCTTCTGCCTGTTACTGTCATTTTCTTCTGAGGTCTTCTAAACTGCAATTTTGAACAAATAACTTGCATAATTGAAATTTTATATATTATATAAATTGAGATATTGAAATTAAAAAAAATAATACAATTATAAACCTGTAATTTTTCTTTATCTTTTGCAGTCTGAATTGGTGGTTGTGGTACTTGTGGAGTTGAAACTGAAGCTTGAGTTGAAGCTTCAACTTCATTTCTTTGGTTTCCTTGCTCAGCACTCATACCATCACCCTTGCTCCCTTCTTGAACCTGTGAAAACTTCCTCTTTTTGCATGTTTTAGAGTTGTGGTTTGTGCCTCCACATGTTCTGCACTTGTTTGATCTTTTAACTCCAACCAGCCTATGAGGATTTTTTGCAACAGGTGGCTCATCTGCTTCTCTCCTCCTAATTCTTTGAGGCCTACCTACTTTGTCTGTGTAATTGGGTGGTAATGGAGGCTCTATTGTACTGGCAGGCCACAATTCAGGTCCATTTAAAGGAAAGATAGGAGTTTCATAGCATTTCAGATAGGTCTCCACTTTGTAACAATTGTGCACATAAGATTCTGGATCTTCATTTCTGCACCAGATAGCAGAACATGCATGTTTACAAGGGATTCCAGTGAGATCCCATTTCCTGCAGCTGCACCTCCTTTCTCTAACATCAACACTGTGCTGAGTTGAAGGTCCCATAATTTGGAAATTCCACTCATCAGACCTTATTGGAATGCACTCTCCAGCTTCTTTCATTGTCTTCATCAACACTTGCTTAATCTTAGGACAGAGAGGACCATCCCACTTAAGTGCTTTTTCTCTATTTATCTGAATTCTTGTCATCAAGAGGTTTCTAATAGATTCAAGCAAAGAGATAATTGGTTTTTCTCTTGCATCCAGTATGAAGCTATTGAAACACTCACACATATTATTCAACAAAATATCACACTTGGGATAGGTAGTGAAATGAGACCTAGACCAGTTTTGTGGAGGTTTTTTGGCTAGCCAAATATAGGCATTTTCATCTATCTCCTTCAACTCTTGCATTCTCCTCTGAAATTCCTCAACTCTAGTTGCCCTTGCTGCAGCCCATAAGGCTGATTTAATGGCCAATCCAGTGAAACCATCCCTTTTCATGTTACTGTGAAGATGCCTAACACAGTACCTATTTTCAGCAGTTGGGAACAAGGTTTCAAAGGCTGGAATCAAGCCCTTTTGCTTGTCAGACATGAATGTCCATGTGTGTTCATTTTCACTAAAGTTGAGATCAATATTCAGCATATTCAAAAACCACATCCAACTCTCTTTTGTCTCACTCTCAACTATTGCATATGCAATTGGATAGATGTTATTGTTTGGATCTAATCCAACTGCACTAAGCAACTGACCCCCATGATTACCCTTTAACCAACATCCATCTACCCCAACCACTGGCCTGCAACCATTCATAAACCCAGTTTTACATGCATTAAAACACATATAAAATCTTTTAAACCTGTTTTCATCATTCAACTGCATTCTCACAGTAGAGCCAGGGTTACTCCTATCTAACTCTTGACAATAATCCCTTATTTTGCTAAACTGTTCCTCTAAAGTACCCTGAATCAGTTTCAGAGCCTTTTGCTTTGCCCTATAGGCCTGTGATCTAGATACATTGGCCTTTAAGGTGGTACAAACTTCATTTCTAAATTCACTTGTGCCCAATTTTGGATTTTCTTTCAATTTTTTCACAAAAGTCTTCCCAATCCACCCTGATTTAATGCTTGTGTTGTTATAATTCCAAGAGCATTTGTTATGATTTGGATTATAGCTCTTAATTTGCCAAGCACCATCCCCCTGCATCTTTCCCACATAGGAAAACCACTCACACCCATCTTTTTTACAAACTGCCCTCAACCTAATCTTGTCAACCTTCTGAAATTTTATCATCATACCTGAACTAAAGCA